GCCTACCGGGTTAAGTTTTGGAAGAGCATAATTACTCTCTCTTTGAGTAGCTTACTCCAAGAACAAACAAGCCCATTGTTTGCTGGTTTGAGTTGGGAAAAGCAGAGAGGTGTGCTGGGACTTGTGTCTCCTCTCCTGAGCAAGCGCCTAGAGAGATCTTGTTCTTGAAAACACCCTTTTGTTTCCCTTTTCATCAAATCAAACAAACACATTTCAGATTTCTTTGGGGAGCTCCACTATTGCACCAGCATCTTTTCGACTGAAAACCTAAATTGTAGTCAAAATTAAAAATCAAATGTTTCAATTCCCCAGGATCAACTTGTGCTGAAAGGGAGGAAAAGGCACTTGGTACATATATAAAACCATAAAACATCAGGGATAGGAAAAACTCAATTGCCTGAAACACCATAAAATGTGTTCTAAATCACCTTTTGCATTGGTTAAATCATAATTTTTCTTTTTCAAGCTCTCTCAAAGATGTATACTTTAAGCAGAAGGCTCTCAGTGAAACCATTAAAGTTTTTTTTTTCCCCCTGAAGGATGGAAGGAATTTCCACATCTAGCTGTATGCTGAATTATTTGTTGTCAACTGATTCACTTCTCAGGTCTGGGAAACAGGGGCTTCCAAAGGCAATGGGCAGACTGCACTAAGCTCTGCTACAAATCTCTATGTCTTAAATCTGTTTTCATTTCATTAACAGATTCACATGAAGACAATGCCAGCCGCAATGTTCAGGCTTCTCACTGGGCAAGAGACACCCCTCTACATCTAGCCTAAATCTGACTTTCATCAAAAGAACTAAAGGCAAGTCAAAGACCCCCACCTGAGCTGAGTGAACTCTGAACAACTTCGGACATCTTGTATTTTCTAAGAACAAAAGGCTATGAAGGACCTGAATTGGCAGCTCAGTGACCAGATAGGCTTCCCTGAGTGTCTTCCCCTTCCCCACTTCCTTTTTTTTTTCTTTTTGCCAAAAAAAAGTGATGTGTCTTTATTGATGACCAGAGTCACAGACACCAGATCTTTGTAAAACACTGAAGTATTTTGCAACATATTCTGAACTGTTTTCTCATTGCAGTTGACCACAGGAATATTTATTTGTACCTTTGTGTGGCAAAGTAGATGTCTGTCTGTTATACTTGAAACTGTGGTGAATGTGATTGATGAATGGGTCTGTGGAAGAGGATACAGTGAAGAAAAAGAAATCTTAACATGGCTGACTTACCAGATGCTACTATCCAATCCAATCCCTCGAGGTTCAAAAACTGAGCTGATGGAGGTGTTATTTGATGGTGTAAAATGTGTGTGTGAGAGAGACTCAGTTGCTTCAAAAGTCGAATCCACAGCAGTATCCCTTAGCATTCATTACTCCAAATGTGTAACTGGTAATTAAATTTTGGCAAGACGTGAATGTGTTTATTTAATAACACAAAAGGAGCCTTTCCTGTGTTAAATAAAGGATGATGGCCACAAGGTAAAAACTCAAAATATTTATTTATATACATATTTATGTTTTTGACTTTTCAGTTTGACAAACTGTTCCTACAGATTTAAGACTTTGAATCATCATGAACAAGACTGCTACTCTTGTACTAGACACGTTCCACAATCTGTGCAAATGTTACTTTCGGCATTTTATTCCTTGCCCATTTGCAACCATGCAGTGCTCCCCGTGGTCAAGCCATGCTTACCTGTTACTTCTGGAGAGGGGTAGAGCTGCCCTAGAGTTCCTACAGTCCTTTGAATATATATTTACACATGTAAAAAAATGGCAACAGCCCTCCTCCCATCACCACCCCTTTAATCCTAAGGCAATGAGTCAGGGATACAAGTTATCTTGGGTGAGCAAGGAGCTATCATCATCAACAGTATTAGAATGCGTATAGATAAAGTAAAATGTAGTCAAGTTGTATTCATTACTGAGATAAATGTTAATTGATGTCATTTTGTCTTGATTATTTTTTTTTTTTTTGGCCAAGGCCTTGAAGAAATACACTGTGACTTAAGAAGCCTTACCATGCAGTAACTAAAGCTTTAGGATTACTGTATTTCAAGGAGTAACCTATGTGTTGCATGCAACTGACCTTAGGAAAGAATTAAGCTAATCCCACTAATAAATCTGAAGTAATAAACAAAAGGTGCTTGTTTGGACTGTTTTGTTCATTGAGGATTTAATAGTCAGCATCTCTTAAAATTTGGGGCCTCACACCAAGGGAGCTCCACAACCACTGTATTCAGTAATTCCAATAGCTACTAAATACCCCATCCCATTGTCATTAAATGGGCTGTAGAGCATAAGAGCTCTCAGCTATAAAATTCAGAGGGCTGGTGTGCTTGCTATTAGCATGAATGGTTGCCACTGGATGTCACTGTGGTGTCACATCAATGCAACTGGAAACGCGCATCTGCTAAAATAATTTCAATAATGGTGATTGATTTCACTGAAGTCACTTTGTGGGGGTGAGAATACTCTCCTGTCATCTGCTTATCTTCTTCCTATCCTAGTTAGAAGGCAGTCTTTGCATTGTGTTGCCTAATGATTAAATGAATGATGCATACCCAACATCAAGGGAGGCTCTGTGTCTCTGGAAACCTAAGATGTCAATGTGTGGGTTTGACTTTTAAGGGGATGGGGATAGAAATTTATCTGCTTTAACTCCTACCAAGATGGTAGAGTGATAGGAGTACTGGACTTTAGAACCTAGGAACTAGGTACTAGGTTCCCAGCTCCAGCCTTTACTAGTGAGAGTATCTTGGGCAACGTGGCAGGTAGGTGGAGCAGTGGAGAAAGTATGAGGCCTGGAGTCAGGAAGATTCATCTTCCTGAATTCAAATCTGGCCTTACACACTTACTAGCTGTGTGACCCCGGGCAAGTCACTTCACCCTGTTTGCCTCAGTTTCCTCATCTGTAAAATGAGCTGGAGAAGGAAATGGCACACCACTCTGGTATCCCTACCAGGAAAACCCCAAAGTGGGCCACAAAGAGTTAGATACAACTGAAACGACAACAGCAACAATCTTGGGCAAGCCACAGGATGATGGACTTAAAAGGTGGAGGGGGGGGCGGTCTTAGATAGAATCTAGTTCCATACCTTATTTTATAAGTGAGGGAACGGAGGTCTAGAAAAGGTTAAGTGAGTGGTTCAACGTTATAAATGTAGCAAAGTAGCAGCAATGAAATTTGAACTCCAGGTTTGATGCCTCACAGATTTGTTGTAAGGACCTAATGAGAGACATGTGAGAGCACCATAAAACTGTAAAGTGCTAAACAAATGTTATTTGCTTTATGAAATTCTTTGGCTCTCAGTATATACTTATTATGACTTATGCAGTACTTCCATCATTCAATAAGCTTCCTTTCTTCAAGGTCACAAGTCCTGGAGGTACAGTTATCTTCTGCAACAAGAGTTAGATTGAGCATTGGGCATTGGTAAGTCACACATTACCAACAATGCTGAATTATGGTATTTTTTTTGTTCCCTTTTTTTTTTTCTGGGGGAGATAGAAGGGCTGATGAGGACAAGACTTTTGTTTAACTGGTCAGTCCTGGGTTGTAGCAAATGAAGTATTCAAATCATGTTTAAGCTACAGACTATGTCATCACCAGCATAAAAAGAACAGCCTTTCAAATTGGCATCAACTGCCAATTGTGCAGCAGTGGTACTGTGCATCCCCTTCCTCCCCAAAGAGTCCACATTAACAGACTCAAAATATAATTTTCATTTTTTAAAGTGGGAAATTCAATTTGAAAATCCGGCAAGATTTTCTTCTCTAATTAAAACCACTCAGATGAATTGGGAATGTTATAAAGTTCTTTGGGTATTCAAAGAAGTGAAACATGCTAGACTGTTGCCAATCTAGGAGAAGTATTAATTTATATGTTCTATGTTGTTTCCCCAGATAGGGCTTTATATTTAATTATGATGTCACAAAAAGAACCTGAGTATAAATTTACCTGGGATTAAATCAGGAAAGCCAGAAGGATAGCTCCGTTAAGTGACTCTGCTTATAAACCATCCTTGTGACCCCCACAGCTTGTGGCTCTGTAAGTGTCACTAGGAAAGCCTTGCATATCAGGCCTATCCAATTGGCATCGATTCAGTGGCAAGCTGAGGTCTGAAAGCTTGCCTTGACTGTGCTGCTCACACTAACGAGCTGCAAGATTAGATTTTGATAAGATGGCACTCTAAGATTTCCACTTAGTAGTACTTTTTTCACTAAGTACCATGTTAGGAGAAGTAATGTAAATGCTTATGCACTAGGAACTATATTCTCATCAAATAATCCATATCTGAAAAAAAGCCCCAATTAAAGGAGAATTCTGAGCCATGGCTCTGAATCTGTAGCAGAGAAGGCTGCAAAAACATTAAACTCACATGCAGAGTTTGGACAGCTTTATAGGAAATGCCTTGATGTGGGTTTTGGATGGCACCTTTTAGGCACGGCCAGTTTAACCCCTTCTCCCTTCACTTAGGTACTGCTATTTCTGAAACTCTTAAGTACATCTGAGGGCAGTTCTGAGAAAAGCTATGACAATATACACCTTTCAGTTCTCAAGTTTTGTCGGACTCATCCATAAGTCTGACATGCTAAGCATACACAGAAACCTGAAAATGTAGTAATATTCAGAGCCTCTGTAATAACAAGTGTATCATCCTCTTCTGATTCTACTCCAATCAGTCCTTGGAGAAGCAGGAGTCAGAAATACTTTTTATTAAAACACTGATCATTGTTAAAACACTGTGAGGTACATTAAATAAATACAACTTTCAAGTTGTATAAACAGGTCTCTTGTGGTTTAGAGGGACTTTCCTGGAAATTACCTCACAGCAACATTCAGACAAGCATATCTGAGCAAAAATAATCCATTTGGAAAATGCCTTTTGTCACATGATAACATACATTTCATTTGGGCCTTCAGTAAAATCTATGCATTATCCTCTTTCAGATGAATAAGAAATATAATCTGATTGGATGGTGCTTTTGCCTTCTCCCCCCCCCCCATAACCCACCCTCCTCTGAGGTGGTCATTCAGGTCTGGGAAGGCAAAATTCAATGTTCTGTTCAGGATCAGTTTTCCCCAGGTCCATGTAATTCAATATCAAATTATGGTCTCCCGGCAAGCTTCAACAAAACTCTGGGGGCTGTTTCCTTCTAGACTGAGAGGGAGGTGTACCCTGTGCAAGAAAGCAAGTGGGGAGCTCAGGGCACCACAGCTTTGCAGATGGAGGTCTTCTTGAAGCTGTTTTCTACAGAGAGTCACATTCTGCTGAGAACTGGCAATGACCTGTTAATATAAGAGATGGGGAAAGAGATCAAGGACAGTGATGCAAGAAGGAAGTCTCACTTCTGAAAGAAGAGTAGGATTAAAAAAAATTCTCAGGGTACAAAACATACACACAGACATACACACACATGAGAATTAAAGCATCAGTTTTCTTTATCCATGGCCACATACAAACCAAACTGAAAATGGTTCTGATTGATGGCTGCATGCTGGGGGTACTCTGGGCTAGAACTGGACAATGCTCATTTCAGGTCTTGTTTAGTTCTACCAAGGTCTACTGTGTATCAGCAAGATTAAAACAAGTCAGATCTATGGTTCCTACTCTCCAGAAGTGTCAGCAACAGCAGCGTCACAGATATTTTTCTCAGTCCAGGCACTTTTAATCCCTGAGAAGATCATGATCCCAAAGTATATTGCTTTTATATGGCTTTTAGTAGCATTTTCCACACAGTAAACCACATAGTAAACAAGAAGCTGGTTAATAAAATTATTGTTGGTCAATCCAGTCCGACTCTTCATGACCCCTTGGGGTTTTCTTGGTAGATATACTGAAATGATTTGCTATTTACTTCTCCAGCTCATTTTACAGATGAAGAAACTGAGGCAATCAGGGTTCAGTGACTTGCTCAGGGTCATACAGCTAGTAAATGTCTGAGGCCAGATTTGAGCTCAGGAAGATGAGTCTTCCTGACTCCAGGCCTAGCACTGTATCCACTGAACCATCTAGCTGCCTCTAACAAGAATTAATTTGTTTTAATTGAATACCTAAGGCAGGCTGGATCTTATAGTATCTGATAGCTGGGTCTTTGTGTGCACAAAGCAGAGGGCCTGAAAAAAAGTATCATAATGTCCTTTTATCACTTCCGTGATAATGTATTCAGTGTAACTGTTAAAGGGGGCAGTTGATTCCACAGGAGTAAGCTTTAAACCAAACATGTTTAAAACAGGCCTGTGTGAATACCTGAGGCTCTAAAGGAGATCTGAAGCACTGGGTCGGAGGTAACCAGGGCAAACTTTCTCAGTCCATCGGTTACCTGACTGCACAGCAGGATTTTGACTGTGAAATTTGGTTATAGGGTATTAATGATATTATTGTAGAAAGCAATTAATAAAGATTTGTTCAAGAGAATTTAATGTGAGGGCTTACATTGTGTTTGTGATGCTTAGAGCATATGCAGGCTATTCCTGTATCTCATATTCCATTTGGGGCAGGTAGGTGGTACAGTGGATAGAACCCTGAGTCGGGAGTGAGGAAGATCTGAGTTCAAATCCAGAATCAGACACTTACTGGCTACGTGACCCTGCACAAGTCACTTGATCTCTCTCTACCTTAGGCTCCTCATCTGTAAAATGGGAATAATATTAGTACCTCCTTCCCAGGGTTGTTGTGAGGACCAAATGAGATGATAATTGTAAAGGGTTCAGTACAGTGCCTAGCACATAGTAGGTGCTATATAAATTAGCTATCATTATTATTCTTGGCATTTCAACAAGGCCTTTTGGGTATTCCAAATCGTAGGGAGGGTGAAGCATTCTATTACAAATTAGCAGGAAGAAGAGAATAAGATCACTGGGAACTAGGGTTGTTAAGAGTAAGTTTTGCCTACCAGAGATCCAGCCCAGATACCCTCCTCTCTAATTGTAGCTACAGATTAGGTACAACTTAGAAACTGCTCCCCTATGGCTCTTCTTTAAAGTCAACAACAGCTCCAATGTGTATTCTGCTAATGAGTGTAAGTTGTGTGAATAGTAGGGGAACAACTCTTTCACAAAGAAGCTCATCACTTCCATTATACAGACAGCTCAGACTCCAACACAAGAGAAAAGGTTTTGAGGTTCCCAAGCCAAACATTCCTCAATCAGTAGGCTGGGAGAAGAACTTTAAAATCTTTTATCAACCTCAACTACAACAGCATTTGACTCTTTGGACTTCAAGAGTACTCAATAAAAATCACAAGATGGGTTTTTAAAAAAAAATCTTTTTGCATAAGATGCCCATAAATTCTTCTGGTAAGAAGTTACGGTTTTTCATCAGAAGGCTTGATTTGCTCTTTTCAGCTACCTAACCTTTGGGAATTAATGACCAATAATATTAGCAAAGCAATAAAAATGTGCACAGCAGAAGTGTCGCTGCTGAATTCTTAAACACTTCAATATGGTATTAGCTTCCCTTTTGCTGAGAAAAAAATCTCGCAGTATGCTCAATGAGAAGGTGTTTTTTTTTCTCAGCCGTGCAGATGCCCATATCACATCTCATTAGGTAAATCTGGGGGGCTGGAAAGTAGGGGAGGGTGGTTCTGCAACATTAGCAGAGGGAGGACAGACATAGCAGATGCAAAAGCACAAGACATTGATGCACGGGGTACACGTGGGGCCAAGGCAGCTGCCAATCACCTTTTCCTCTGTCTCTATGCAGAGTTTGAGGAGAGAGCTTGGGGAAAGCTGAAGGCAACTATTAGGAAGAAGAGCCAGCCGTAGGGAACAACATGGACGGCTAAAAGAGGGGGGAGGCTTCAAAAACATGGAAATGTTTAAGATTTCTGCAAGCTGATGAACTTACTAGTAGCTGGTTAGCCCTATTGCCACCTGATAAACCAGCTAACCTCTGCGCTGACGAGAAGGCTGGGGAATGAGCTACTTTAGATAATCACTTATTCTAGTTAACATATAGCTCACATACATCCAAGGTAGGGGATGTGCCTTTTTCTTTAAATCTAAGGTATCTGTCTCCTTCATACACATTAAAAAAGAACCATTTGTCTCAGGTAACATAGAAGTAAAAAAACTTTTTTTGAGAGAAATATAAAATGCTCAATGCACCTGCTTTTCACATTGAACAAATGAAACGTAGAATAAAAAGGTAGACCCCAAGTTCATTGAGGAAACAGAAATATGGCTGGGAAGAACAGAGCAACAGGTAAGAAAGACCCAGAGAAGGCAACTGAAAGAGTGCAAAGGAATGAAATGTAGGAGAGATGGCCAGAGGAAGAGAAAGCTGAAGAGAGAGGTTCAGTAGGTCCTGAGGTGAATGGGTCAGTCAAGGTTACCTACTCTTGTTGTATCCTACTGTTCCTTTGGCCTATGACCTGTGGCCATCCCCTGCCTCCTTAAATAGGAGTTCTTGAGGTGGGAGAAGAGGAGAGAGGGAAGGAGATGTTCTGGGCTTCAGACCTAAAGCCACTATAGCACCTGTACCTGCCATTGGTCAGATGAAATTATGGTCATGGTTGGATCCAGCTGTGAGCTAGAGGTTCCTCCATTCACAGGCTAGGTGGTGCAGTGGATAGAACACTGGGTCTGGAGTCAGGAAGACCTGAGTGCAAATCCAGCCTTGGACATTTACTAATTGTGTGACCCTGGGCAAGTTGCTTAACCTCTGCTTCAATTTCCTCAACGGTCAAATGGGGATAATAGTAGCACCTATGTTCCAAGGTGGTTGTGAGGATCAAATGAGATAATATTTATAAAGCGCTTAACACACAGTAGGTACTTAATAAATGTTTCCTTTCCTTCTTGACAACTCCCCATATTTCTTGTACAATAGTCAATTTTAAAAAGAGTTAATAAGAGGTGATTCTAAAGTAATGAGATGGATTCCATAAGCCACATACAATAACCAGTATCATTAAAAGTCTCACCGAATACACTCAACAATAGAGCATACCTACACTGAACATCATTTAAGTTTTCTTAGATTATTCTGAAATGCCTTGAGGATCTTGTAGTGTGTCAAAAATAATCATTATGAACATCAATTATTTGTATTGTAGATGTGTGAAAATTATAATCAATAAAGAGGTCTAGTTAATAAAATTATGACTAAAGTAAGACACAGCTGCACATATTAGGCAGTGATTTTTGTTATCATTATGGATGTGTGAGATGGGGTTTGAAGGGACAGGGAAAAGAGGCAGGAAATACAATCAATGAATACAAGGAACCTATGGGCCAGGCTAGATGCCAATACTACTTCCAGGCAAGGCCACAGAAACACAAATAGATTATGCTTTTCCAAGACGTAATAGCAATTCAGTTAATGCCAATCCAACAATTGTTTATTAATCCTTAGAAGAACAGAGTGTACTGAGCTGGGGCTGGGGGACAGAAAAGTTTTAAATGAAACAGAAGTCATTTAGCTCCTTTCTAAAGCTGTCTTCTGCCAACTCTGTCCCACACATTTAGAACTTTGGGGTCTCTGACGAACAACTAGTCAAAAACTGTCGCAGGACCTTGCAACACTCATACCTGGTCTATAATGTTGGCACTGAAGATGGCTTCTTCCATGTGTCGTTCATCAGATTTGATGACTGATCGGATAGTGTTCACCGCATGCTCCACTTCTGGAGGGAGATTACAGTTTGAATGTTCCAAAAACTTAGCCACCAAAATTTTTGTGTCTTTATAGGCCTTAAGGTCCACTAAAGAGGGTGGCTGCTCTTTTGAGATGGTCTGTAAGGCCTTTGGCTTTAATTGTTGGTCAACTTTCCTGGTATCTCTTTGTTTTCCAGCTGGCAAAAAATGGTCCTGATAAGCAGAAGCAGCCATGTGAGAGCTAGAAATGGAAACTAAAAATAAAGGGGAAAATACAACTTTGAAAAAAAAAAACTAAAGCAAGCTATCAAAACCAAAGAAAACCAAACACAAGCATGCCTGGGAGAAAGCTTTCTGAGAAGCCTCTGGGACTCTCTGGCTAAAACTGGGGATGGGTGTCTCCCTTCACTCCTCAATAGGTGTGGCACTATCAAACCTTCCTGGGCCTATTGCCGTATGTGAAAACTAATTTAGAGACAAATCTCTACTGAAAGATGGGAGAGAAGAAGGTCATAGAAGGAGGAGACACTCAGCAAGAAAAAAGCAATAGATCAGTGGGCAAGCAAGTGCAAGACTGGGAGATGTCTTTTCATATAAAACAGAAAGATATTCTCCCTTTGCTTTAGGGTATCTATAGTATTAAAGGCAGATTGCTTACCCCTTTCTTGTTAGTAACAAATCCATCTACCTCTGGTTTTACATAGGTTTGGCAGTCATAGGTTCTTAAAGATTGATGGACCAACCAGTATACTGAGATCCAGAATAATTGTTGCACAATGTCATATAATTAACATAGAAGGTAGTGTTCTCCTGATTGCCAGGCTAAAGTTGTTGTGTTTTTTTTTAATTTAAAAGACATTCCTCCTCTCCTGGGTTTCTCAAGTAATGCTTAAGATAATACAGAAAGCAATAGTAAGAATACTCAAGTATCCACAGAACAAATAAGAAACAATAGTAGAAGTTTTATTTCCTTAACCATGTCTCAGTCCCACTGTCCAGGTGAATTTTGGGTAAACTAAGTTAATTTCCAGTCAACTTGGGTAAGCCAATTGACTCAATTAGTACTGGGTTAAATTTGGACTACCTCCCTACCGCTCTTAGACTAAGAGTTAAGGAATGAAAAGCAAAAGGAAAAAAAAAGGAATGGGTAGTCTGAAGCATTTCAGCTTTAAACCAATGGGAGATTAAAAATGAGGGAGGAAGAACACAAATGACCACCACCACTCTACCAAGAAGACGCCTCACAAAGGGAGAGCTCACATTGAAATCAGCAGGCATATGCAGGGCTGAAGTTAATTATGCTCTCTGGTACACTCTGCTAAGTGAAAGGGAAAGGAAATGTAGATGTTCTGTGTGCGTGTGTGTATTTAAATATCACATCTTGTGACATGAGAAAATGAATTTAACGAAGCATACTTTGCTCAGTCACCACCTATGAAAATAGCAACATCTGAAACAACTCTCCTTCTCAAGCTACACCACCATCTACTCTGTTGATAGGATGATAGAAAAGTTAGGCATGCATGCAAAGATGATTTTAGAAATCAGTACCTCACCTGTCTCTAAATCCCACTGAGATATTCCTGCTTCATGATGCTGGCTAAATAAAGGTGGGTAGGAAGAGGTATCTCCTTTAACCAAAGAGAATATTTAATTAAACATACTGAAACATGCATTAAGAAAACAGAAAGAAAAGCCCTTCCAAGTCCAAGGAATCAATTGTAAATGATAAAACAAGTTGAAGGAAACAATTGGCTAATGTCTTTAAAACAAGCAATATATCCCTAGATAGGAAAAACACACCACTAAAATCCTTCAGCCTTTCAAACACCTCAAGTTAATGGTTATTTTCTTTACTTTGACATACAAAATAATTTGATACAATCTCTAGTTGATTTCTTTTATTAAACACTTGAGGCATCTCAGTGTTTCTTCAGGAAGCCTCAAGGTACCCACTTCAATAAAGAGAAAAATTAAAGTTTTCGTGTCTGAATTGAGAGGAAATCTGCTTTGTGTGGAGCAATTTTCCCTTTTTAATAGTCATGTGGCTGATGGAGAAACAACAAACAAGACTGATTCTCATTAATAACGTTTACATTTCAAGGTCTGATCAAACCCTCTATCTCCTTAATTCCCTTCATGGTTTGTAGAACACGGAGTATTAGAGGTGATCAGGGCTGAACAGAATAGGAATGGGGCATTTTAGCCTCAAATGAGAAGGTAGCTGAGATCTTCTCGCTGATTGCCACAAAACAATTACTACAAAACCTGTGGTGGTTTCCCACCCACTCCCTCAATCTTAGATTCATGAAAATAAATGAGGAAGAAATCTTCCATATGTCTGAGTATTTTTGTTCTTTCAAAGACAAAAAGCTATTTTGAAATTTTAGATAGATTAAAAGACTTTTTCCCCCTTCAGGGCACAGTTTATAATGAAAACCTACTCTAACCCTCTTTAGTAGAATAGGTATTTAAATCAGGAAATGAAAAAAAAAGAAAGAAAAAAGAAAAACCTGCAAGATCCTCATCACCACTTAGAAAAGTTAGGATAAGAGAGATGTTAGTGGGAGTTGACTTCATGCCTGAGAATTTTGGCACATGTTCTACAGTGAAACTCAGAAACTTTATGGGAACTATCAGTTTGCCAAAGTCAGATTATTCCAACATATAAAATTGCTCCAAGGTGCAAGTTAGATACTTTGAGAAATGTTATAATTTATTTGGGCCGTGACAATATGACAAAGCAATTTGCTTGTTGCAGTGTATATGGTTACATCTGCTAATGCAGCTCTGAAGTTATCTTAGTTGCTCCTAAAGAATAATTTGCATATTAAAAAATTTGTCTAATTCTTAAGTAAGCAGTAGATAATCTACAGCTCAATTCTTAGACATGCCAGGTAGAGAAGCAGGGATAGTAGCCTCAAATGTCCCTCCTTTTATACGTATTTAATGAAGAAGATCTTTTTCCTCATCTTGGGGCAGTTATTAGACCTATCTATAATACAAAAGTAAAATGACAAAATAGCAATATCAACAAGTATATAGACATAAAGGATTTCAGAAACAAACATCTGCAGCTCCAGTGGTGATGAGTCGCCCAAATGCCTGTTATCTGTATTGTGCTGCCATAGGAGTATACCTAATACTCAGGAGCTCTTGGTGAGAAAGTAACAGAAAAACAAAAACAAAATACTTTGAAGTCTAAGGAATAAATTATCAATGGTTTAACAAGCCAATGAAAACTATTAAACTGTGTCTTTAAGATAAGCAACATAGATCAAAAAACATGTTGCTGTATAGTCAACCCTTCATGTATTTAGGTCTATTGGCTTAATTTTTCTCCCACTTGACATACTGCATAATACAAAAACAAAAAGACTAAACTATTGTGAGTATTAAAAATATACAAATCAGCTACAAAGAACCTATGAAGAAAGATGCTATCCATCTCCAGAGAAAACTGATAAATACAAATATGCATAACATGATTTCACACATATACACATGTATGTGTTAAATGAAGGTTTTCTCTAGTGCAAGGTGGGGAAGGAGAGAAGGTGGGAAGGAGACAGTTCAAAAATTTAAAATATAACAAAAATAACATGAAATAAAATCAAAATCAACTGCATATATTTGACTGTGTCAAATCTAACTTTTTATAGAAAGGTTCCCACCAATGAAATCTCATCCCAAGCTTCCAAGAGACAACATGGTCAACTCTGTATTAGCTATATCAAATGGAAGACAGAATGGGTATGAGTCATATGAAGCAAAAGATAACCCAAAATTATTTATATTTGGTTTTTATAATATGCCTGCATGCACACGTACACACGTAGACACACACACACACACACACACACACACACACCCCTGAGACAGACACAAACACTTTGAGCCACAGGGAGAGCTTAGAACCACAGACAATCCAAGCTGCCAAAGACCCAGGGCTCTACTCCATCTCCCATTTTATAGATCAGGAATGGGGAGGTGATTTGCCCATGTGCTTGAAATCCAAGTCTCTTGGTCCTGTGTTCCTTCCACTAAACTATATAACCTTTCTCTCATGTAACTGTGCCTGAGGCCAAGTCTCTTCTAGGCTTGTATTTATGGTCTACATCTCCCATTTCTTTATTGTAAATTTAAAAATAAAATTAACCTATTCTCTTAACACTTTATTCTTTGCTTATGTGTTTTATTATACTTAAATCTGTATTATCTTTGCCTGTGTACTTCTCTAATGAAATGAATCAAAGGGATGCCCTATGATTAGATGGTCTGAAAGGTTATGCCTCACCTTGTATTCTTTTCTGCTCATTGTGAAAAGGTTAATATAATTCAGAGCAATTATCAATACCCTGGTATTAACCTCACACATGTGGACTTACTCACATTTGCTTTGCCCCAAACTTTTAAAGGTTACATAAAAGAGACTGAAATGCAAAAAATAAAGAATAAACTGAAACCCACACAAACAAGTTGTTCCATACTTCAGTGTGACAACTGGTACAATTAACTTTGGGATGGTCAGTGTGTACCCCAGCCTGCCATCATGTCTGAAAGAATTTACCTTCTGTGCTGGATGAACATGAAATAGGATCACTGGTAGATCGGACAATATTTGAAATTCGTTTTTTCCTAACGCGTCTTGGAGGAACAGTTCTCTCTAAGCAGCCATGGTGTGATGAAGTATTTGCAGGAACTGAACAGAGAGAGGACTGGGAATGAGTTGCAGAAGACTGGCTAAAGGTCCCACAACACATTTTCATCTGTTTCAACTGTGGCTGTGATTGATTCTCCCGCACAGAGCCCTGGGACTCTGAAAAGCTGTAATTCTCAGAACAGTCTGGAGATCTCTGAGGAGAGCTCTCATAGTCCTGGATCTGAGATCTGTCTAGAGAGGCTCTGTGCCGGCAGCCTCTAGCCTCCATGGGGGAACATGGTGAGTGAGTCCTGTGGAACCTGCATCGCATGCTGCGATCCAAGCTGGTACAGCTACTGTCCGTGGCTGCTTTACGGATTGTACCATATGGAGAAAAGTCTGCAGAACGGAGAGAGCCTTGAACTTCCAAAGAACAAAGGTCCTCAGAGGAGTAGCTATGATCTGGAATGTCAGCAACTTCAGACACCAAAAGAGAAGTACTATCAACGGAAACTACAAAAGAAGATCGTTACCAAAAGCTTTAACATTGAATGCTTTAAGTGACAGATGGAACAAAATAGCAAAATACAAATTATAGGAAAAATGATACCTGCATCATCTCTATCTATACCTTTTAGTATCTATCTGCCTTGTACAAAACTCTGAAGTTTAAAAGTACCAGAGTTCTCTTTCTCTTGTATGATGTTCAAAACTTTTGGCAGAGATTTTATTATCCTTTCAGACCTTAAGATATAAAATACCATAGAATTATAATACAAAAATACTTTTTTAAGAATCTAGGTGAGCATCACACAACTCTCTGGTTCCAAGTGACCAGTGCTTTTTGGTGCTGGGGTGGGGGAGTGTGGATGGGAGGTAATTGATCTCAAACAGAACATATAGAAATGCTTCAACATCAGTTCTGGACCCCAGCCTTTCAAAGGACACTAGATCCACCTATTGCCGGGAAGATAACATCACTAAAGCGCTCTCCACAGAAGGCTAAATAAGTGTTTAACAAGAATTTAATGCCTTTAAAAGTTCACTAGCGCTAGGTTCTTGTTCAACCAGAAAATGGTGTCTTTTGCCACAGTGAGGATAGATAATTCTGTTGAAAATGAACTAACCACCTCTAGCCTCAAACTAGACCTCCACAAATTCAGTGATGTAAGTAGCAAAGATAATAGCCTTAAAAAACATAGGTATAGAACTCATGTACATATGAGGGATATTAACTTGAAATGAGATATTTGAACTCTTTTCAGCAGTACATATTCTATGAGCTAGTCCTCTTCCTCTCTAAAGATGACCTCACCTTCTACTTTCTTATGGATGTGGTAAGGCCATCAGATTCCATTAGAAGCAGAATGGATTATATCTACAAGAGTAGACTAGAGTCAGATTATGAAGTGGAACTCCTTTAACCACCCCTATCCCCTTCCTTCCCTGGCCATGTCTTAAATTTTCTCCATGTCTAGAAAGAGTAGATCTTCTTCCTATCTCCTTAGGGACTCAATCTTTTTCCGTAGGCTCCCTCTAGAATCTTATTTGTATGTTGAATTGAAATAAGTTATATTCCTTTTCCCCTGTGTTTCTAATTTCTCCCTCTCCACTGATTCAGTCTTCTCTGGCTACCCCTAACTTCCACATCCTAAAACAAAACAAACAAAATTCTCAATCTTGCTACCCACTCCTCACCCCGCAACTACCATGTTCTCCTTATTGTGACTACCAGATGTCTTGAAAGAAATATCTTCATTCCTTGTCTCTACTTCCTTGAACATTCAATTCAACAAGTGTGCTGAATGCCTAATGAAAAGTTTTATGTTAGGTGATAGGAACACAAAACACAGATGAAAAAAATAGTCTTTGCCCTCAAGGACCTATATTATATGAGACATGATATTAAACAGCTAATTAAGCACATGATAAATTGAGAAGAGAGAAATAATTAATGATATCAAAGAAAGCTTTCAGCAGAGGTGGCACCTGAACTAATCCTTGAAGGGAGGATTTTAAGAGATGGAGCTATGAGGAGGAAGTACGATTCTGGCACTGGGTACAGTTTGTGCAAAGATGTGGAATAAGGAGAAAGAATTCTGAATTTAGAGAACAACAAATAGGCCAGTTTGATTGAAAGGTAAACTAAAAGAAATGGAGTATTGTGAATTATACATACAAAGGTGGGCTGAAGCCAGATTATGAAGGGCTTTAAATACCAAACTGAGGAGTGCATATTTTATCCTATCATAGCTACAATAATAATAGCTAGCATTTATACTGTATAATGCTTTAAGGTTTACAAAACACTTTGCATATGTTATCTAATTTGAGCTTCAACAATCCTGGGAGATAGGTATTATTATTTTCATTTTAAAGATGAGAAAATTGGATGTGAGAGGTTAAGTGAGTAGTCCAGCCAGTGATTGTCTAAGGCACAATTAGGTCTTCCTGTCCTCAATGGCAACCCTCTCTTCACTGGCCACCTAGGTACCTAGAAATAACAGGGAGCCACTATGCAAGAAAATAATGTGATCACTTTTGTGCTTTAGGAAGATTATTCTGGAAACTGTGTGGAAATATGGATTGGAGAAAGGAGAGACTGGAAGTAGGGAACGCCCCATTGTAATAGTTAAGGTGGTAAGTGATAAATATCTTAACTGTAGTGGGGGATGTGTGAACGTAGAGAAGAAAGCATTTGAGAGATATTATATAGAGACAGAATCAATAAGACTCAGTAAGTGACTAGATCTGGGGAAAGCAAGGATGATGGAAGAGTCAAGGATGACTCCATCGTGGTGAAGTTGGGGCTACTGGAAGGACTGAGGTACCCACTATAGAAATGGTAAACGTTTAATAGATATTTGCTAAAATATGAAAATTAAATGAAATTGGGAGATTTCAAGAAGGAAAGATTTAGAGAAGAAGGTAATGAGTTCAGTTTTTGACATATTGAATTTGAGATACGTATGCTAATTAAATTATGGATCTAGTCCCATTCCATTCTGTGGGATGTGTGGAGATGATGTAGCACTGCTGGTCAGGAGAGGGAGTAGAGCTAATCATATAGTTTAGGAGTCCTATTCAAAAGGGAAAGGGATGGGAGGGGTGAATTCCAGCTCTTTTACAGATGTTCTATTAATAAAGAGAGATCCATGAACAGGGAAGAAACACTCATACACCCTCATTCCCTCGAAGTCCACTGGCCTGCTGGCATTCTTGCTGTTCCTATTTCTCAAAACCCATTTCCACGTGGCATTTGCTCCTAACCCCTCCACTGAATCTTCTCTCTCTCAAAGGTCATTAATAATCTCCAGATTGCCAAATCCGAAGACACCTTTTTCTGCTTATGACATAGCTGACTCTTTACAATTCTACCTTGCTTGATACCATATGCATTGATTTACTTAGTAGCTTCCTGGTTATTCTATCTCCTCTTCTTCCTTCTGCCCCCTAAATGAAAGTGTTACCCAGGTTTCCTGAGTTATCCTGAAGGTCCTAATCTAACCTTCAAAGCCTGGGTCATAGACTACTTCCTCTATGAAATATTTCCTGATTCCCCAATCCAAAACAATTTCTCCTCTGAACTAATGTGGCTCTTTGTACCTCTTATTGTACTTTTGCGTTCCACTTTGTGTTATAGGCTTTTGAGTATGTCATCTCCCCAACTAGACAGTCACCTTTATTACTGCATGCATAATAATTCTCTGCTTCCCATTTGACACTATTGACCAGCATCTCCTTTTGCATACTCCTACCTGAGTTTTCGACATCCTCTTTTCTTCTAGTTCTCCCACCTGTCTGATCATTCCTCGGTATCCTTTGTTGATTCATCATTTCTGTAACGTGCACTAACATCTTTCCAGACACCATGTTTGCAATCCTTTCTCACCCCACATATCCAATCAGTTGTCAAATCTTACCATTTCTATCTTCACATCTCTTGCCTCTATCCTGTTTTTTCTCTTCATGTACCCACTATCTTGGTTCATATCTTCTTCACTTCTCACCTGGACTATCAAAATGCCTTTCTATTGGCCTTCTTGCCAGAGGTCACTCTCCACTACAATCAATCCTCTACACAGCAATCAAAGTGATTTTCTTTATGTAGCTCTGAGCAGATGATTCTCCAACTCAACAAATACCAGAGTCCTTATTGTCTTTAGAAGAAAAAAAAAGAACTCCTCCATTTTGATTTTAAACCCCTTCACAACTTGGCACCAATATATCTTCCCAGATTTATTATGTACCCACTGTCCTTCCTATACTCTATAGTCCAACCCAAATTAGCCTTCTCTTCTCCTCAAACAAATTACAATAAAAAGCCTTTTCTGATTCCATCAACTTCTAGTGTCTTCCCTTCTAACAACCTTGTATTTATTTTGAATTTCTCCGTATATTTATTCTGTATCTTTTTATATGTGTACATATTATCTCCCCCAATAGAAAGTCACCTGTTTTAGAGAAGGAATTGTTTCATCATTTTGGTCTTTGTAACCCTAGCATTTACCACCAAGCCTGGCCCAGAGGAAGCATTTAATACATGATTGTTTGTTGATGTTTTTGTTTTCACACTGTAGGCACTCAAATATATATTGAATAAGCTTATGCCCATCAAGTAAATTACAAATATAGGATAATAGTTTTGAGCTGGAAGGGAAAATAAAATTCATATAATCCAATACTCTCATTTTATAGATGAATAAACTGAGTCTCAGATAGGAAAAGAGATTTGTCTAAGGTTACAAGGGAATTAAATAGTAAAAGTCTTCCAAAGTAAGCATGAGTAAAGGATTACTAACATTGACAAGGACATCAAGCAGAGTTTTCTTCCTTTTCTGAACTTCCTTTGTACTCTTCCTGTGATTTTAATCCCACTCTGCCTCGGTTATACTTATTTTGTAAATATTTTATTTCTTCTAATAGAGGACAAGGAATATATCATATTCGACTCTGTATCCCCCACAGGGGCTAGCACAGAATTTTGTTAGCAGATAGCAAATATTTAGTGAATGTATAAATAAGTGAAATTAAATGAATGAAAACCCTTAAAAAACATTCTTCTTTCTCTCTCTCTGAACCTATACAATCTTATTTTTTAACTCCAGGCATTGCCATTTGAAGATCGCAAGAATACATTTTATTTGTGTTTTTTTTATTTTTAGTTTTTAGATTTCCCATTCCTTGAGGGCAAGGGATAATAGTAATAAGCACAACAAAATAATGACATTCTATGCAGGATTTCACACATCAGAAAAACAGAAAAGAATACAAGCCATACCATCTTGAAAGGTAATTTGAAAAGGAAGGTCAAAAGTATTCCAGTTAACAGCTCCTTCTGATAATCACCAGAGAAAAGGAAACACCTCACAAATAAAAGTACTGCACAGTTAATGAAAAACTGAGTTCAGTAAAGTTCTCAGTACATAAAAATGTGTGTAAAGTTAGTTTCAGTTTCATTTTGGTCTTACTAAAATTATTTCTCTGGTTATTGTTTGGGTAAATATATAATATTTTGGAATTGTAGTCATGTATTATGTTAATACAAACCCCACAAATACCTAAACCACAAAAAGTTTTTTTTAAATGAATTATTCAAACCTCTGTTGTGTCCTTTTGATTATACATTTTTAGGATGAGCACACAGCTAATAATTTAGTTCTTTTGAGAAGTGGAATTATAGGGAACCATATCATCCTTTACTATATAATCTATTTACTGAATGTGCCTTGGCTCAAAAAACCTGTTTTCATTCAATTCAGCAGTTCCCTTTCCATTAGCAAAATACAAGCAAAATCCATTTGCCAAATCTGAAGTTGTTATTTCAAATCAATAAGCATTTTGGGAAGCATGGAATTTTGAACACTCATAGTAGGATCTTAAATATTTTCCATTTTTTGGACAACATTTCTATAAATTGTTTAATAGGTTTGGGTCTATTTTTCTGTTGTATTTTTAAAATGCCTTCCTGCTTAGAATTGCTATGAAAATTGAAGGACAAAGTTTTAAGATTGTCTGAGGCTATCTGTTATACCCTATCTCTTGAAAGTCCCAACACAGGAAGGAATTGCTTCTTCTCTTTTTACCTTTACCTCTTGAAAACCCTGGTTCTTCTTGAGTATCAGCTCAAGTACCAGTTACTTTAGAGAAAGGCCTCTCCTGATTCCCCCATTTCTTAGTGCTCTTCCTCTGTCATTGTGAATTATTATTATTATTATTATTATTATTATTTTTGGTACACATTCTTTGTAGACTATTCATTATGACTCCCCATTGGAATAGAAGATCCTAGAGAACTATTTCATTTTTTGTAGGGACTATTTCATTTTTATCTTTTTATACCAGTACTTAATGCAGCAGCTGCTAAGTAGTTGGTGCTTAATAAATGTTTGTTGATTGAATGAGATACAGCAAATGCGCTTCACCCTCAGATGAAATCTTTTTGTGTCTATTTATGTCAGTGATAGCCCTTCACCTTTCTCAGTGATAAAGACTTCACTACAGGTATCGTTATGGTGCTAAACTGCAAAGACGGCACCAGGATTTTTTAGCCCCACTACAGAATGGTGTTGGGTATGGGTTCTTTTTGGAACCAGTAACTAAGCTGGCAGGCCAAATCTTGTGTACTACAAAAAAACTGAAGCAGAAGGGCCTTCGTTAACTGAGATGCCCTAAAAGAATGCTTCTGGATCTAGCAATTGTTTCATTTTGCACTTACCAGTTCTGGGTAAAAGTGAGGAGTAGCCCAGAATGAAACAAAACTTAGGAAGGAATGGTTGCTCATTCACTCTCCTTAAAGTGAAGAAAAAGTAGGAGAATAAAAGAAATTTCTTCTGGAAACTCTATAAATTACTATTTCTTCAAGTGTTATCATAAAGAGATCTACTCTCTGAGGCAGGCTTACCTTGCGTGCTGAAACCAGCAGTTGTATTTTGATCCCCCAAGCTCGATTCAGTTACTTGATGGTCTAGACTGGTAACCTACAGCAAGAAAACAAAAGCAGCATGTGTTTGACTTCAGTGAGACTCAGATTCATTAATAATCAGAACTGAAACAAATCATCTAAATGGTATACTGCCATCCAGTGATAAAAGCTCACTTGAAAGCTCTTGTTCAATTTGTAACACTGACATGTATTCATATTTTTTAAACATTTCACCTTAGGGGGAGGGGAGGAATATGAAAAAGCATTCATCCAAATTCATCCCTGACTTCCCTGATACACTGGGGTGTGGAAATCAACAGAGAGAAGGGCCACTACTACACTCATAAATACCCTTCCATGACAATTTCTAATTCTTCAGGAAAGTGTGGCCCATTTGCAGAATACGCAACAATCACTGGATAGTAATGATGAATCTCATTACACCAGAAGACCACACAGATAATCTTTTATGGCAGTCCTTGTACTGATTCTCCCCATCCTTTATTCTGCATTCTCAATCCCACCTAATCCTATTCAAATAATTGAAGAGTCATTCTGGGGAAAATGATTCATAGCTTTCTTTTCCTCAATTTTTATTATCTCACAGTAATTATTCTTAATTTCACATCATCTCCTTTACTCCAAAGGAAACATTCCAACTTGTTTTTTTTTAACCAATCCTGTAACTTAATTGCTTTAGGAACCCTCTAACGAGGAAACTCTTGCTACTGATGCAAACTGGCACTTGTTTTGCAGTTTGTAGCCTTAGAACTGCCTCAGTCACATTGAGGTTAAATGACTTTTCCAGAGTCACATAGTCAGTACATACCTGAGGCAGGACTTGAATCAGGGTCTTCCTGACTCCAAGCCCAACTCTATCTACTATGCCATGCTACTACTCAATGGGAAGATAGTTATCTGTGATTCTCAGCCCCTCAATGTTGGAGTTTTCCTATCTTTTTCTCCCTCCTTCCCTAAGAGGAATCTGCAACCTTTGAAACTCTTTTAACAAGTCAAGATCTATATCTATACATATAATATCATTTACATATATATAATATATAGTATGTTATATATGTGTGTATTTGTAAATATAATTGTTTAAAGGGATCCACAGATTCTTCTTAGGACTATACACACACACACACACACACACACACACACACACACACATATACATACATATATACATAATTCTTGGTGGATGTATTTGTTTCTAGGAAGATCCACATTTTAAGATATGTTTGCATAATTAGATAACACTGCTGTAGCATCTTAGAACATGAACAACTATGTACATACAATATATGTATACAAGCAAAATATATTTTAAAGTAACTTGTTATTTTATATATATATATATGTAACCTTCAGCTACAAAAAAAAATCCTAGTTTTGAAATCCTACGTGATTTCAAAATTGCTTAGGGAATTCAGCTATAAATAATGAGCTGCTAGGGGAAATTGGGAGAGGTGATCTGAGCCCCAGTGTCGTAGTTAGATTTCAACTCAGGTAATTAGATTTCTGCCTGTCTATATGTCCCTTGCCACTTTAATCAAACAGGTTATTTTTATTTCTACTCTTTAAACTTTAAACTAAGGCTTTGCATTACCGCAAGTATAAAGTGAGTGCTATGTCCTTATCACTGTAAGAATAGGAGATAACTGTCTGTCTGTAAGGTGGCTTTGAGAGTGCTATAAAGTTACTACTTAATTAATTGAATTAACATTTATTAAGTGTCTGCTAGGTGCTACAGACACAAAGGCAAACACAAAACAGTCTCCACCCTCAAGGACTTGATATTTTATTAAGAAGCTATTCTGGCTGGGTTAACTCTGGGGAGAATTGAGTGACCAGCTCCAATGTAAGAACCACTTGGCCTTCTACATCTGCAAACACAGCTCCACTACTTTTCCTGGGCTCAGCCCTCAAGAGTAATCAGAGCAGCACTAACATTAATACAGCATTTTAAGGTTCATAAAGCACTTTACATATATTATCTCACTTCATCCTCAAGCCAAACACAGCACATAGCAGAGACTTTAAAATTGCTTGTTAAAAGAAAGTAAAATAAAGAACAGAAAATAACTATTCTAGAGAGCAATAATCAGTCAAGCAGACTCTTACTCTAGTCAAGCTCAGGCTTGTCGTGTTGCCATAACCTGTCATTACATTTTTTCTCAGGACTCTATTGTGTTTTTGGAAATTTTGTGAATGTGCTTTCATATTGGAGTATAAAGTAAATAATAAACATTTGATTCTTGATCTACAGTGGAGAGAATTATGTAAATAGTCTTTTTTTCCTTCCCTCCCTCTCCACCCTGCACTCTAGAGAAGGCCACGATTTAACACACACACACACACACACACACACACACACTCTATACTATGTGTACTTCTATTTATCAGTTCTTTCTCTGGAGATGGGTAGCATCTTCCTTCATAGGTCCTTTGTAGTTGACTTGAGTATTTATAATTCTCAAAACAACTTAGTTGTTCACAGTTATTCTTCAAATAATATTGCAGTTTACTGTATCTAATGTTCTCTTGGTTCTGCTCATTTCACTCTTTGTTATTTCAGGCAAATCTTTCCAAATTTTTTCTAAAATCACATTCCATAACAGTCATATAACACGACTTGTTTACCATTCCCCACTTGACAGGCGTCCCCTCAAATTTCCAGTTCTTTTCCTCCACAAAAAAAGAGTTGTTATAAATATTTTAGAACGTATAGGTTCTTTTCCTTTTTCCCTGATCACCTTGGGAAAGGGACCTAATAGTGGTATTGTTAGGTCAAAGGGTATATACACAGTTTTAGAACTCTTTGGGCTTCAATTAGTAATATTCCTGATATTTACCTATGAAGATTTGAATCAGTATTCATAAATACCCAATGGTACACAGATCTGTTAAGTATTCCTTCCTTGAATCACAAGAAAACAATCACTACCATGTGACACTCATTCCTTTTCATAATGCTCTTCTCTCATGTCTCTCCTTCCTAGCCTGTCCCCCTGCCCACCATCACCATTATTAGTTTTTGTCACAGCTCCTTTCAAACCTACTTTCTGAAAAAAATTCCTGTTAATAAATTGCTATAAATAAAGCAAGAGTACCAAAATAGACACTAAGCTAAGGTCAGGCGTGCATTAGATGGATGCCATTTAAAAAAAATAAGGCATCACTCTGGCTCTTCAACAGCCACATACTGCTTAATCCATGTTGATTATAGTAGATGGCAGATACTAGAAATGATCATCAATCACATCTGTACAAGCAATAGTCAAGGGCTTGATTTGAATTTAGCCTTCCATAAAACTGAAAGTAACATTACTATATTAGAACTATTAGGAAAAGAGCTTTTCATAGAATTCTAGAACTAATAGGGATAAAAACATTTAGCTCAGCCCTCTCCTTTTCAGATGAGAAAACAGATGAGGTCATATGATTTGCTCAAGATCACACATCTGGTTGGTGGTACAACTGGGAATGGGCCTTGGGTCTCAAGACTTTTGGTTCAGTGCTCTTTCAATTGAACCATACTGGATTTTAGATTAAAGTGCATTTCTAATGAAAAAATGAAGAATATATTTGTCACAAAGTTAAATTGAAAAAAAAATTTAAAACCAAGCCTCGTACACAGAGCTACAGGCAGTAGGAAAGATGGTGGCATAAACATTCTAATGTAGATGTCACATAAATAACAAATATGGCATGCTCTTGTGCTATTAAATGGAAGGAATTTTATTCATAGTTATGCTACTTTTGTCAGCTATAGTAATAACGACAGAATAAATTGCCATGTAAACTTGTTTTCTCCTACTCAAGGGATGATAGAAATTTCCTAATAAAAGAAGAAACCATGGAAATTATTCCATATTTCTAAGTTTATATCAAACTAGTGTTTGGGTCTATGGAGGAAGTCTGCAGATTCTTAGCAATTTCAGGAAATCTGCACTAAAAATTCACATTGTTTTGCTTTGCTTTGTGAATTTTTAGTGCAGATTTCCTGAAATTGCTAAGAATCTGCAGACTTTCTTAACAAGTCCATACTGTATAATTATGCTTTTTTCCCTCTACTTGAAGACAAAATTCACTCACAAACTAAAGGCATAAATATTATTTAATTGGAAAAAAACATTAACTACCTTTATTATTGGATTTCAGGATGAGTCTCTGAAAATGATCTAGACTGACAAGAACTTAATAAATGTTTTGTGACAGTGAGAAAACAACCCCCTACTTGCTTCTGCATCTTTAGAGATGATCTCTGTGTCTCAAGGACTTGCTCAAGTCAACAACACCGAGATAGTGTTGGTCTCTGCTCCTCCCATCCAGCGATTCTCCTTTGTGCATAACGGTTGTAAAATAATACATGCCGTTTGATCTGACTCTAGCTGCTGAAGATACTGTTTTTTTTTAAGTGACATGAAGAATATTGAATTCAGAAGCTGACCCCTACAAGAGCAATGTTTGCAGAAATAAAGAAAAAAACAAAATCAGGACTACTTCACTATATTTACACACAGAATATCCTGTAATTCCAATGTAAATTATCAATGAGTTAGACTGCAGCAGAAAGTTACTGACTTGCTGCTTAAGAGTTTTATCTAAGGAGAAAATTTGGAACTCAAAATCTTGTGGAAATGAATGTTGAAAACTAAAAATAAATAAATTAATTTTAAAAAAAGAGTTCTATCTAAAACCACAGGAACATGAAGCATCAGCAGGGTAAAAATGAATGTGAAAGAAATGAATATGCTCAATATAGCTGAGAAGTATATTTAAATGAATATAATCAATCCTAAAAATAACTAATTTCTAAAAGTAGTATTAAAAAAAGCTACTTTTTTATATTCTAGGACTAGCTCTAAGGATCAGCCCCTTCTTGCATCTCTCTCTAGCTTCTGTACTGCTTTTATTTCTCCCTTCTGTCAGTCTGTCTTCCTCTCTTTATAAAAAATGACTGCCGATATGTAATTTATGTGCAGTTTACACTAGCAAGTGGAATCAATTAACCTTCTGCTTGTCTAGGGGGAAAGGACTCTTGCTCTA